AGTTTTCTATATATATGGACTTGTAAGAAGGTTCTTGCTTCAGTTCTACCTGGATGTTAGTGGCAAATCACAGTTGAATCCATTCAGCCCTTATTACTCTCACCTCGTAAAAGGATTATATGAAGGCTCAAGGAATGATACACGTAAATTATACTAATGCTGTGTAAGCACTTTAAAAATAGGATTAATCAAAGATTTATTGCTCTTTTATTTTTGTTTTGCAAACACTGGGGTTTGAACCCAGGCTCTTGTACTTCCTTGTTCTCTTGCTTGTTCAGAGTTGGTATTGCACCACTGAGGCATACCTCCAGTCTGGGTTTTTGCTAGTAACGTATATATGGAGTCAAGGATTGTTCTGTCCATCCTAGCTTTGATTTTCAATTCTCCAGGCCTCAGCCTGCTGTGTAACTAGTATTGCAGATGTGAGCCACTGGTACAAGCAGGCCAAGGATTTCTTTGCTACTCTTGAGTCTCTAGAGTGATTGGAAATGGTGCTGTTATGAAAGCTTAATCAACTGATAAGATCAGGGGTGAATAAAGCTTAATAAAAGCACATGAATCCAATTTACTGCACATCTCACAGGCCCTTTTCTTATAAATGGTCAAATTATAGAAATGCCATGTTCCTTGTTGATCATAAGTTTTTCATAATGGTGTGAGAAAAAGAAACTAGATTCTTATCTTGCTCAGTTCATTTACTGAGAGCTTTGCATTTCACCAGCTTGCAGACATTTGCTTAAATAAATGAGCAGATAGCTTCATTTGAAAAATAAAGTAATAAGCAAAGTAAAAGTGTTTTACTCATTCACAAATGACACAAAATAGAGCCCTAAAATGATGGTTCATGCCTGAAATACTAGCTACTCAAAGGCTGAGGTATTAGCATCATGGTTTGAAGACAGTCCCAAGAGGAAAATCCTTGAGATTCTTATCTCCAATCAACCACCAGAAATCCAGAAATGGTACTGTGGCCCAAAGTGGTAGAGTGCCAGTCTTGTGTTAAAAAAGATAATAATAATAATAATAATAAAGCTCAGAGAAAGTGTCAAGGACCACAACCAGAAAAACAAACAAACAAAAACAAACAAAAAGTAGGCATGGATGTCCTCACAGGCTTCACACACATAGAAATTTTTTTCTAATCCGACCGTTTTTGAAACTTTTTCAGATAAACTAAAAAATTTAGCTGAAATACTGTTGACAATGCTAGAGGCTGCGGAGGCCACCAAAGAGACACATAGTAAGCCAGAATCATTAGCCAGAAAACAAAGCACCATAAAATGGTGAGGTGTGTACTGTCTAACCAGTGGGTGATAATGTTCGCCAAAGTCTTCCAGAACACTTTTAAATCTGAAAAACCTGGTTTTCTATGCAGGATCCATTTTTCTATGCTTATTATCTCTCCATTGCTGCCTTTTCTATTTTCCAAGTAGTATTGAATGCAAATAAAGAAAGAAGTCATTCATGGATCCTTCATTTTGGAGTTGGTGACGTAGCTAGTTGCTTCCTTCTCAGAATTTCAAACTTGATCCCTGATGCCTTCCTCTCTGGAGGCAACTTGGTTACTGCTTCAATAATCATCTATTTCACTAGACTTTGAATAGCATAGAATAGATGTGCATCTTTGCATTCCCAGTGCCTTAAGACTGATTCAAGGTGGGTTACTATTAAGCTTATTAAGGCAACAGATTTTATTTCAGATTATTAAAGTTTCCATTCATGTCAGTGACTGTTCCAGTAGAGATAAATTTCTAAGGAAACAATCTCATATTTCTCATTTTCAACAATTCCCAAATAGCCATCACATTTCAGTCATCTTAAAAGGATTCAGGCCAGGCACAGGGGTCTCACGCCTATAATCCTAGCTACTCAAGAGGCTGAGATCTGAGGATCAAGATCCAAAGCCAGTCAGGTGGCAATGTCCCTGAGACTCTCATCTCCAATAAACCACCAGAAAATTGGAAGTGGCACAGTGGCTCAAGTGATAGAGCGCTAGCCTTGAGCTGAAGAGCTGAGGGACAGTGTCCAGGCCCCGAGTTCAAGCCCCATAAGCAAGAAAAACAAACAAACAGCAACAACAACAAAAACTATTCAGCATCAGCTCAAGGATCATCAAATGTAAATGTAAATGACATTCCACAAAGCATCCCCTGTTAAAATTTGTGTAGGTGGAGTGAAGGGAAACAAACCCATAAAATCATGGGCTTTTCCCATCAAAACTGAGAAGCATAACTGAGGTTAGTGATCTAGTATCCAAGATATCTTAAAATGGAACACTGGTATTTTTAAGGCAGAGATACTTCTGCTTGAGGTTGTAATGGTAGAAATTTATCATTGTACACTTAGAAAATCCACAGATATGCTGTACCATGAGAGGACAGTGAGGTCACCCATGGACTATGGATGACAAGAATACATTGATACAAATTCTATGAATGCTGCTAAAGCAGCCCATGGAGTAGAAATGCTGATAGAGGAAGAGTTTAAGTGCTGTGAAGGAAGGATGAGAGGGTATGGGAACTTGGTGTGTCCAGTTCATTTTACTGTCAATCTGAAAATTCTCTAAAAATACAGTATTAATTCAAAACACAGACAATACTAAGAATCAAGTATTACTTGTGGAAGCTGCTGTGTTTTTTGTTCTATTGGCTTCTGTAATGTCCTCTACATCATACCTTAAGTCATTGATTCAGTAAAGCAACTCCTTTATATTGCCATTTTAAAATACAAAAGGGGCCATATAATGCTACGTGCGAAATTAGGGATACTCTTCATTCTATACCATGACTCCTCAGGCCTTCCAGATACAAATGTGCTGAATGAGTCTTGCTCTGACCCATGGGGGCTGAGCTTAGACTGCCCAAGTAGCCTTTGAAAGACGAGCTGTACTACTATGCTACTAAGATGGCTCAACAGACAATTGTGATCTCAGAAGAGCCTCCTTTTAACCCTTGATTTCTGTACTTGAGCATGGAAGCCAATAATTACAATTACTTTCACATGCTCATGCTTGTGGTATGGCCATATGTATACATGTGTGAGTGTGAGTGTGTATGTATATGTGTGTGTGTACATGGAGACAAAGCAATTCCTTAATATACAAAGGAAATACTTATGTTTATTGCAAAGCAGAATTTTCTAATGTAGAGCTGAAAGAATTTTTTCTAGAAGCAATTTTCTGTCTGTAGAGGCTATATGCTAGGTGCTTGTAGGTCACACCTGTCATATTAACTACTTAGGAAGCTGAGAACTAGAGAATCATGGTTTGATACCAGCTTAAGCAAAAAGGCTGTGAAACTCCATTCCCAAAATGACTAGCAAGAGTTTAGGCTAGAAGTGTGGCTCAAGAGATGGATTAATCAACCCAAGCAAACTTATGGCCTTGAGATCAAACCTGCTAGAAAATAAAATATTTATCTAAGTAGAAATACAACATTTATCAAACTTCTTTGATTCTAAAACCTGTTGATTCTTAGACTATTTATTAGCATACAAAGGACTATTGATGCCAAAACATACTTAGAAATTTGTCAGTATATTTGGATGATAATATAATGGGCCATTAACAATTTGTAGTTTTTCTCTAACATAACTTACGCACACTTATCTACAAGAGTGAGCAATGCTGAAGATGCTAACAGGAACCACAGGAAGTAAACAAATGTCTTCATGTCATCAATCCTTGAGCTTTATCACTTCGTTTCTGACACTTCCAAAGTGGCCAGCTCATATCACGAGTTCCCTTTCTTTCTGGATCAGGTTATCTCTCAAACATCAAGTGATGCTGTTACAGACAGTGTATGTTCATAACTGTGTGGGAGTAAATTGTGTAATATTGTAACTTTGTTTTCTAAAAATATTGTTTACTTTACTGACATAAGACAAGGGGAAGTATATTTATTCTTTGCCTTTTCAACAGCTCTACCTGATTCACTAAAAGCTTGTCTAGATCCACAATACTGTTTCTTAAGGAAAAAGAAATGCAAAGGAAGTTTATATCAAACTGGGTGCTCTATATAACACCACATTATGTGTAAACTCTACAACAGTTTATATTGCTTTAATGCAGCTTCTCAAACAATTAGATATTGAGTTCTTTGAATTATTTTTTCTAACTTAATTAAAGGCATACTGTATCTCCCTAGAGCTATTGCCAAAATTTGGAAGATCATCACCTGAGCAGTCCACATTTATAGCAAAATAAACTTGTGTTTTATCAAGAATGGTTTTGTTTCTGGGATATTGGTGGTTCTTTTGTATCTGTACACCTATGTGTCATGCCATGTTTGTGTATTAATTACATCTTTTTAGGTTTATTTTATTGGTTTAAATTTATTTTTTTCTTTTCCTAAGTAGGAATATATAAACAATCATAGTTTGATATATTAGTTCATGTTCCTATTAAGTATTAATGCTAAAATTATATACCCTTTCAAACAATCTACACATCACCCATAGAATATTTAACACACTTGTAGGGAGACATGTAGACAAATGTAGGAAAACATGAAGACTTCCTATGACAACGATGGATGGAAACAAAGTGTTATCCTGGTGTCCCTCCTACTATAGAGGAGTAAAATAAAGAGTATCTGCTTACACAGCTCCCTGGGGAAGAAAAAGTGTGCTTGAGAATTAGACTCAGTTGATTTATAGTCCCTGACTTATCCACTGCATTGAAAGACACACAACTTTAACGGTCAGTTTCCATAAATGGACCAAGTAAATCACGTTATTGAAGAGGGGACTTTCAAGAAGAATAAAGAATCCCCTGAAACCAAAGGCAGATATTGTTAATGCTTGAGACCTGTGGTACAAGTCCGTGACACTCTGTGAGTTTAATTTTCTGTCTAATCAAATGACCTGCTCTCATTTGGTTGTTTCAACCACAAGACGACATCAGTGTATGCATTTTTTTTAACATACGCGTCATGACACACCAAGAAAGGAGGAACTTCCAGTGTCTGTGGTAACATCACTTGATAAACAGGCTCCTTTGAAGAGCAAGCGCCTGTCTGCCTTTACTATATAAAGCAGTCGAGACATAAACTCACAGACATTCGCCGTAAGAGGACCATGAGAGCAGCAGCCATCCCCACACCAACGCTGGACAAAATGCCAGGAATGATCTTCTCTGCTAATCCAAAGGGCTTGAAAGAAACCAGTCATTCACATCTAGAGGAGAAAACTCAAAGAAGAAGACCAAGGGCTTTGTAAGTGCATTCAGTATCTCATTTGGATTATCTTTTGTGGTAGTCAGGATTATGAATGAAGGGAGGAGATCATGAGTTTGGCCAAATCAGAGAATTTGTATGTTGTGAATTATAAGGAAGATTTTAGTTGCATTAAACAGTAAATTATATTCCATCATTAGAAGAGTTGGGAACACTTTCAGACACTGACTCATAAAATTAGCTCTATTTTAATAATGAAAAATGTATCTGCTTTTATTCCTTGGAGATGTTTATCTCATGCTCTTTTTATTTTTAAAAATAGAGTGAAACTTGTTGAAAACATATAAATGAATGTATTTGCTTTTATTGCAGTGGAATGGACATGAAAGCATACTTGAGATCTATGATACCACATCTTGAATCTGGAATTAAATCTTCCAAGTCCAAAGACATGTATGTATAAATCCATTGAATTATTATCATTTACAAAAGCAGCTTGGGCATTCATTCTGTATGCTAGTAAGAGATTAATACTGTATACAATAGACCCTAGAATCAATACAACTTTAATACAAAGTGCATTGTATTATAAGTGTACTTGTATTATAATTATCTCATTATTAAATACAAATGTATTTGCTGTTTATTTTTGCACTATCACATTTTATTCATATGGATTTGTTTTATATTCCATTAGCTTATTTTTCATAACTATGTTAATTCTAAGGTTTTGTTACATATATATGTTAACAACATTTATTAATACTAGGTAGGTATGGGGTACATGACTCTAGCCCCAGAACATAGGAAGTAGAGGCAGAAAGGTTATGATTTCAAGTCTAGCCTGGCTACAAAGTGAGTTCCAGGACAATCTGAGTTGTATAGCAAATTCATGTTTCAAAAAAAAATTACTAGAACTAGATTCGAAGGTTATGAAAAGTTATTAGTCATTCTCATTTCGTTTGTAGTTTACATAAAATATTTCATTAATTTATATAAATGCTGTTCTTTACAGACTTTCTGCTGATGAAGTAATTCAATGGTCCCACTCTCTGGAAAAACTCCTTGCAAACCAAAGTAAGCACATACTAACAACTATTTCTAGATTCAACTATATACCCTAGTAGATTGAATAGCTTCATTAAAATATAGTGTTTTAGGTAGAGTAGTGTGAAGAAAGTTGTGTCCAAGTAGACCTCTCTTGTATCCACTGCTGACATAGCACACAGTTTTACCACTCTGTTATATATATATAACAAAGCAAGTAGGTTTTTCCAAGGATCTTTGTAGAAGCCCCATTAACTTCTTTTAAAGTTCTGAAGTTGAAAAAGTTGAAAAAAATAAACAAATCTTTTAATATGTAAGTTGCAAATTAATTAATTAATTAATGGGAAGTTCCCATGCCTTAGCTCTTCTCCTTCATGCTACTTTTGTGTGACAGGAATTTTAGTGTCACCAAGTGTCCAAACACAATGACAGAGTCCTTTACAATTCTGAAGGGGAATGGGACAAAATATATTTTATATATAACATGATGCATTACATATTTTAATATAGGTAATATAGAAAGGATTTAAAACATTAAGTCTTGGGAGATTTTCTGATGACAGAAATCAGCTTGCCTTCTCTTGTTGAGTGTATTACAATGCTTCTGGGATGAGGACCTGGTTCAATAGTGCAGAAGAAAAAATACTAGCAAATATAGTCACTACAGCAGGTGCATAAGTGACATGTAGACCTGATATTAATTAAATATATATTAGATGAGGCAATTATATTTGAGTTTATTAACATTACATAAGTAACATTTGTTTGTGAATGTGTGCTTGCCTGGAATACTCTAAATTCTGGCTAATATTTTATATCAATTATAAAAATAAGATGTTGATTTATAATGACCAGTCTAATTTCAGTTTAAAGACTGATAGCCACACTGAACTGCTATTCATTAAGAGAAAAGTTTTTCTGCCCTCAGACTTTTCTCCTGTCCATAAAACTATTTATCAGGCTTTCTCTCCACAAATTAAGATATAGGTATATCAGTAACAGCCAGTTCTTACATTTGTATATTGAGAATTAAATGATATTATTTGAAATAATGTTCTACAAGTTATTTTTTACTTAACTATTTTAATTATCTTAATCACCTCTTTTTAGTTGGTAAAGATGTCTTTGGAAATTTTCTAAAGACTGAGTTCAGTGAAGAGAATATCGAGTTCTGGCTGGCTTGCGAAGATTACAAGAAAACGGAGTCTGATCTTTTGTATTGCAAGGCACAGAAGATATACAAAGCATTTGTGCATTCAGATGCAGCTAAGCAAGTGAGTATTAAGTTCCTTCCTTCAGTGTGTATATTAAACAGAAAAAAGAAAAAAATCTCATTGCACATCTCATCATCAAATCCTTTTTGAGTATCATCATTTTATTTCCATAGAGTTAGGCATTATCAGATAGTCCAATGAAATGATAATATGTGTAACCAGGAGAATGAAAAGACTGAATTTATAAAACGATCTGAGAATGATATGAGAGTGTGGATATTATTGGCAAGATATGCGTAGAAGTAAAACTTTAATGAGTTATCTTATCTCAGATGAGATAAAATTCTGATGATAGGGGCTGGGAAGGTGGCTCAGTGGTATAGCGCTTGCCTTGCATGCATGAGGACCTGGGTTTGATTCCTCAGCACCACATAAGAAAAAAGAAAAAAGCCAGAAGTGGCGCTGTGGCTCAAGTGGTAGAGCGTAGACTTGAGCTGAAGAGCTGAGGGAGCACCCAGGCCCAGAGTTCAGGACCCACGACTGGATCCCCCCCCAAAAAATTCTAATGATACATAACACTGTAAGCAGCCAAGAAAGTATGATCTTTTAGTAGTAGTGTTGGCCATCAAACAAAATATTCTTAGTTCAAGAGGAAAATAGCTGCACAAACGCCCTGTTTTCAAGTACATCTTAATTGTCTATGCCAATTTTTGGGTACATGTCCTACTGTGTACTGATACTAACACGTTTTGTGTGTTTTTCTCCTTTCATCTCTCAACTACACTATGAACATATATGGAGCAAAATATTTTTTGTGGTTATACTTTTTTTTAATCTTCTCTACATCAAGTATAGGTGGGTTTTAGAGCAAGCATTTGAGGGATTTCTGCACTGATTTTAATGAGGATGTAAAATGACTTTGTTGAAATACATCAAAATGCCCAGTAAGATGATAATATGTACCAAAAAATGTGAAGTGCGTGCTAATTAATAATGATTTCACTTTAGATCAATATTGACTTTCGGACTCGAGAATCTACAGCTAAGAAGATGAAGGCACCAACCCCCACATCTTTTGATGAAGCCCAGAAAATCATATTTACTCTCATGGAGAAGGACTCTTACCCCAGGTTCCTGAAATCAGCTATTTACATAAATCTCCTAAATGACCTTCAGGCTAATAACCTTAAGTGAGTTCCTAGATGAGGGAAATTTAAAAGATGGTGTCAAGGGTAAGACATATGACCAAGTTGCTGCCTGGGTGAACACCTTGGCATGTTTGGGTGATTCCACAAGCCCAGCAAAAGAATAAATGGGTCAGAATGATAAGACATGGTGCTTCCAGTCAGACTTGAAGAAGCATAAGCAAGACAAACATGGAGACTGAAGATGAAGGAGGAGCTATAGGACTCACATCAAATGGAGTAGACCTCGCCATGAGAAACTGACTATACGAAACTATAGAAAACTTCCAAGACAGATTACGACATGCTATAAGCTTTCATTTCCACAGACCTCATGTTGCTTATTATAAAGACTGTATTAAACTCCTGAAATCCCCTTAACTTATGTGGTTCAGATCACCACTGTTCTTAGCACATGCTGTTTTAAGTGAGTGTGTTTGGCTTAGAAGTAGTGAAGAGAACAGTGGGTGTAATCTGAGCTACTGCTCTTGAAATTGGAAATCAGAATATATTTGTACATTAAGTTATCACAGTGGCAATAATGTGACTTTTGTATTAAAATATAAAGAAACTAGTTTGTTTCTATTTTATTGCTATTTTTAACCTGGCACTTTTTCTACTTTGTACTACTAGTAGACATATAAAAGTATATCTTATGCATTAAAGTAGAAAGAATTATCTGTCTTCTCTCTACTATTGCCATGAATAAAAAGAAAATATGATCCCACAAAATTCCAACATCAAACAGATAAGAAATTTGTTACATTTGTACAGAAAAAAAGGAAAAGGAAGGAAGGAAGGAAGGAAGAAATAAAGGAAGGAAGGAAAGAAAAGTGATGATAGAAGTTATCCTGAAGACTCAGTAGTTAACAGTTGACACTTTAGTTTAAGTTAACATTTACAAAACTTGTGTGTGTTTGTGTGTGTGTGTGTGTGTGTGTGTGTATGTGTGTGTCTTCTTATTTGTGGCACATGGCAGTATCATGGAAGCTGAGACTGAAAGTTCAAAGCACTAGATTTAAACCACCCAGAATGTGAAGACATACAACTGTCTCTTATTTTGGAGTTTTTCAAGATTGACCGAATCTGAAACACCAAGAGGTAGAATATGAGAATATAGTTTTAAGAATATCCTATTGGTAATTCTGAACATAATTTGATAATCTAGAGTTGGACACTGGAGACAAGGGGAGTAACAGCATAAGGGACTCCTTAAGGCTCTTCCAATTGCAATCCTGTGCTCTTTCTCCTTTGTGATACTGCCACCCACTGGCCAAAAGATATTCCCCAAACCATTCAAATTTACAAGTCTGTCACCTATAATAGGAAATATGGTTCATATTCCTGTATTCCCTGTACACATGCATTCCCCCTTGGACCTCTGATTCATATGTTACCCAACACCCAGTCAGATACAAACCATAGTAAACTGTTCTCTATATTCTCACTACCAGCTTTCCCAACAATCAATCCACAGCAGTGGCAAGGAAAATATGGAGATCAAGGTTATAAGATTTGTACTAAACTTTCCGTTGGATCGAGTCCACATTAGTAGTACCCTGGGTTTTCTGGCATGCTCTGCTGAGTTGTGAATGGCAAGTGTCATGTGATCACATCACCCCCAGGTTTCTTTTTTCCATGACTCATACTGCACCAAATTCTGTCCGTCTCTGTTGTACAACCCACGCCTGTGGCATGTCACTTATTCTGTCTATTTTCCCCATCCTAGCTTCCATTTCACAATTTACCAACTGTTTGTATCTCATCATCTAAACAGCTAAACCTACCCTCTTCTAAAGTACAGATGTGGAAACATTGTTTCCCGTGACATACAAAATGATATTCAAATGTGTCCTTCTGGCATTCAAACTCTGCCAGTGTGACTTTCACAGTGCAACTTTCATTATTCCCCTCTGGGTATCCTCCCTAACTTAATATCACTCTGGACTATTCACTGTTCTGCAGGAACCTTGCTATATGCTTTGTTAAAAACACATTTCATTGTTTCCTGGCTTTTGGTGAATCCCTACTCTATACTTCAAATGACATTTCCTGTACTCTTCTGGTTTGCAAAGTCACCAGTTCTTCTGGGCCCATACTGATAACTTTTCTATGATATTGACACCCTAAGTGTATTTATTTTCAATGTCTAATGGAGATGGTCTGCAGTCTAGGCAAATACAGGACGCCCTGCTCCTATTTTAAGTGCTACTGTCACGTTAAATAGAATCCAGGCTCTTCAGGCCAGAGGAGTGAGGAACAGAAGTATCCAGCACACACACCAGTCATAAAATGAACCCTGCTGCTCTTTGTCTAAATAATCTGCCATATGAAAGAGCTACCCAATTTTGAACAGAGGATCAAAACAGGTTTCTAAGATACCAACTCATGTGGGGAAAAATAATCATACTAGCTGAATAGATTCAAGCAAATACAAAGTACCTTAAAAGGCAGAATATGGCCTGCTACATTCCAGAATAAACCTATAGTAGACTAATTTTGATTCAATCTAAGGAAAACTCAAGAATAATGCTTTTATGAACTGTTGCTTTATTTTGTTTTACCAGAAATGTGGCATGAAAGCAGGGCATGTATACCTGAACTTTTTTCAGTCAAGAGTGACATTCTATCACTTGAGTCACAGCTCCACTTGTGTGTGTGGGGGGGTGTTAATTGGAGGAAAAAGTTTCTTGGAAATTCCTGCTTGTTCTGGCTTGACACCACCATCCTTGAATCTCAGCCTTCTGAATAACTAGGATCATAGATGTGAGCCACTAGTGCTGACTAAGAATAATGCTTTGTAAATCAGATATATACACTCTCTGTTACTTTTTCATTGCCTTTCTTTAGGTGCTTTTCATTATGGTATGACTGTATCATTAGACCATTCACAGAAATGTGACTGGCACCAGTGACATTTGTTATTAAAAAAAAAAACTGATCCAGTCGCTCAGTGCTGTTAGTGAAAACCTCATGGTCCCTTCTGTCATACAACACACATCCATACACACACACACACACACACACACACACACACACACACACACACGTACAAACACTTTACATCTTAAAAGTAAATCACACTTACCTAAAAGAATTTTTATACTTGACAAACAATAATGATTATTGAACTAATAATATATTACATGAGGCAATAGATTTAGTTCTAGAAAAACCTGCTTCCTTTCTTTTCTATATTTAATTGCATGCTTGCTTGTATCATGTATATTCCATCCATCATGAATAATTACTACCTGGATGCTCATAGATCACCCTGTAATTTTAGCTAGTCAGGATGCTGGGATGTGAGGAGTCATAGGTTGGTGCCAGCCAATTCATTAGATTGCACTCCAAAATACCTAGCAAAAAGTAGTGCTGGGAGAATGGCACATGTGTCAAAGCACCCTAGCAAGCACAAAGCCCTGGTCCAAACACCATATTTGCAAAAAAATGAAGAAAGAAACAAATGAAAAAAAAAGTAAATAAATAAACCAAGTGAGAAAAAAATGGTGAGATGATTCCAGATATACAGACTAATCTATGAACAATTAGGATATCAAGACAACAAATACCCTGTGTTCAACAATAGTAGTTTTCTAAGTTGGTTGAAAATATATGGGCTCGCAGAATATATAGCTTGGAAATCTAAAGAACTAGTTGCCTTAGCTTGGATGTGAAATTTCCCCAATTTCTTAAAGGCCTAGTGGCTAAAGTATGGCACTATGGGGAGACAGTGAATCTGGAATAAATTGTATGCAATAGATTTAATTTCTCTGAAGAAAATATTGGAACAGTGGTGCTCACTCTCTCTTCAACCACTACTTAGTCATTTTCTCTGCTATAGGCTTCTAGTAAAATATTCTGCCTTATCACAAACTCAAGTGAGGCAACCAGCACCATGGCTTGGAACCTCTGAAGCTGTGAGGCCAAGGAAACATGTCCACCTCATAAGTTGATTTTTCTTGAGTATTTTTGCCACCAAAACAGAAGGCTGAATAGCATAGCAATTTAGGAAGGATTATGAGAAGAGATTTTTTCTCTCCAATGAATATAAATTTTCTCTTTTACTGGACAGAGAACTGGTAAATTTTAAGCAAAATATTGTTTTGGCCTATTTTTTAATAACGCATGTGTTAATAAGGATTTCCTTATTAATCCTAAAAGATATTTAAAATATGCACTCCCTGCCCCATATAACTGTTGAAATGAAGAGGAGAGAAAAATATGAAAAAAAAGACAACCTAACAGCATGCAATTAAAAAATCACGGACCCCTGAGTTGAGCTTAGCTGTATAATTTTCCAAAGTCTTTCTCACCACATACTATTCTTAGAAGAATTATGATTTGTGTTTTTAAAACCCAAGATTTAACATAGAAGATGTTTTTGAAAGAAGGTATCATTGAGGAGGGAAAGCCAAGCTCATCTAGTTTTGTAGCCAGCCAGAGAAAATCAGGGTTTCCACGAGGAAAGAAAACAAGGCCAAGGAAGAAGACAGTGAGCAGACAATACCTGGTGAATGATTAGTCTTGAAAAATAGCCAGAGAGGAGCATACAAGAAGTTTAAGGTAGGCTGGGAAGGTGGCTCAGTGGTAGAGAGCTTGCCTTGCATGCATGAGGACCTGGGTTCAATTCTTCAGCATCACATAAGCAGAAAAAGAAAGCCGGAAGTGGTGCTGTGGCTCAAGTGGTAGAGAGCTAGCCTTGAGCTGAAGAGCTGAAGGACAGCACCCAGGCCCAGAGTTCAGGCCCACGACCGGACTCCCCACCCCAAAAAAGGAAAAAGGTTTCTAATCTGAGTGTCCTAAACTATAGATACATCACATTGTCTTTGAGAGCCTTCCATTAAGATGTGCGTTAAATAATTTAAGCAATAGAAGATGGTAATATTGGGTCACATATGAGAAATAGGTTACATGGCATTTTCAAATGACACTCGCTCCTTCCCAATAAATCTGTATATGAAACATTAAACATGATTTTTCATAAAGTTGTTTTTTGCCTTGGACAAAAGCTCAGCCTTGTGAGCCATCATCTAGCCTAAGAACAAACGAAAGACCAAGGGACTCAACAGATTTGCAGTAAGTACATGCCAAAAGGTCAAAAGTACTTTTCAAAGATAGAAAAATAAAACCAAAGCTCAGGATTTTTGCCAAGAGACCAGCTAACAGCTGTTAAAGATAAACCACCAAGAGTGTGGAACACTGGACAACAGGAGATTGTGATTAAAGCAACAGGAATTCTGCTTCCTTATATGGAGGACTTTCTATTTAGCTTGACATTAGATCTATGCGGGAGCCAAGCAACAAGTGGAATATTCTAGGTTTCCTTCTTGTTAACAGAGACAGAAAAACTGATGTAGCTAGACACTCTCTTGGCACAACCTTTAGTTCAACCATCTTTTTAAATTTGTTTATTGTGAAAATATCATACAGAGGGGTTACAATTAAATGAGCAAGGTAATGAGTACATTTCTTATCAAGTATTGTTGCCTCCTCTGTTTCCCCTTCCCATCCCTTTTTATCTTCCCCACTCTAACCACCCCCAGCCAAAGTTTTAAAGTTTGTTTTTTGACA